TCAGCAGGACCAGTGCCAAGAGGCTGGGGAGGGGGCCGAGGATGAAGCAGAAAGGAGATGCTGAGGTCGACACAAGGCAGACAAAAGAGAATAATTAGAACAACCAAAAGCGTCAGGCCCAGACAGCTGGCACGGCAGGGTGCGGAGTCGGGAGAAGAGGGCCCAGCATACAGCCAGTTCTCAGGGAGGCTTATAATTGACACAGAATCCACAGGGTCGCTTGCCTTCTCCCTGCACAGGTTTCCAAGCCTTGGGCGGGCAGGAGGGGCTTGGGGAAGCCTGACGCTCTCCCCCTTCCTTCAACCCTGTGCCCTGGAAGCCGCCTCCATTCCAGGGGAAGAAGCAGGACTGGCCATGCAAAGGAATTTGCCCCCCCCCCCCTGGTCTCTGCTGGAATGGCAGGAGGGGGGGAGTGTCTGTGGCCAGAATACAAACCTTCACCTGCCCCATTCATCCTTGCAAATGTGCATTCTGGAGATTGCAAATGTGCATTCTGGAGATTCCAACCCCCCACCCCCATTTTATTTTTGAGCACGAGCACAAAAATAAATAAATCTTCCTTTGCTGCCTTTGCCCCCCCCCCCCACACACACACATGCCAGAAGGCCTGTTCTTGTCACCGGGAAGGTCCCTGACACTGCCGCTCTCCCGGTGCCAAGATCTGAAGGTACAGGCGGGCTGCACCTTTGAAAGGAGAAGAGATGAAAATGTTGTGCTTGTACACGGTTAAAGCCCTGCTTAAAATGCTTCTGCTTTCCACAGCGCTCTCTCTCTCTCTCCCCCTCTTGAATCCCCCCCGGTGTTGTTACTGTGAAGGGAGATGAATAATTCATGGCCAGCGAATGCCTCACTGGGCCTAATCACCACTCTAATTGGAGGTTTAGATCAGAGGCGGCTAATAGCTCCTGCAGTGGGGACTCCATAGGCTGTTGACAGGGAGAGTGCGGAGAGCCTTATCGTTGGCCTGTTTCAATTCCCCCGGGACACCACCAGGCGGAACAGCATCCAGGTCCCCCGATACCAAAGGACACAGACCGCAGGGCCAATTAAATTTATCAGGGAAGAACTGACATCTAACTTAAACAGAGGGGGAAGCCGGAGGAGGAGGACGACGACTAATAGGGTTCCTTCCTTCTCCAACGGCTGCCTGTCTTGGGCTGCCGGAGCCGGCTTCAGCCCAGCCGGGTGGGCACCGCGCCAAGTGGCCGGGAGCTCTCAAGGCAAAGGGGAAAGAGACAGCAGTGTGTCGTCGTCCGTCCCCCACCCCGTTCTGTAGCAATGCTGGCCCGGGACAAGCAGCTACCAAGATGATGGCGGTTTAAAAAAAGAACATTCAGGATTTGGTCTTCCTCCCCACCCACCCCTTCTCCTCTCCTCCTTCCCAAATCTCTGCTGGTGTCACCGGGGAGCCGAATCGGACCCCGTTAGCCGCGCAGACTTCGTTCTGAAATGTCACTCAGGCCCGAGGAGTACAAGTCATTGTCTTCGCAGGAAGACTTTAATTGCGCTGTCGTGCTGCTGTTCGCTATAATTAACGTTGTCAGCATTTCCCAGCCTTTTATAGACCTCTGCTTTCTGTCAGTTTTTGGTTGGGGGGGGGTGAGGGGGGTGGGGAGAGACCCTTTGTGGAGAAAGTGTGATAAGCCAGCTCCCAGCAGGGGCTGCTGTTAAATGTGGGGTTTATTTTGGCAATATGGGAACTGAATGAAAGCGGGGGTGGGGACTATTGTTTGTTTTCTCTCTCTCTCTCTCTCTCTCTCTGCGTGGGTGTGGAGCATTGTGAAACCTGGGTGCAGGCCTTGCTTCCCCTTGTAATAAGAGAAGAGGGAGAGATAAGAGATTGGATTTATACCCCACCCTTCACTACCCGAAGGAGTCTCAGAGCAGCTCACAATCCCTTTCCCTTCCCCTCCCAGGTGGGGCTGGGAGAGCTCTCTCGAGGACTGCCCTTGAGAGAACCGTTCTGACAGAACTTGTGACTGACCCAAGGTCGCACCAGCAGCTGCATGTAAAGGAGTGGGGAATCGAACCCGGTTCTCCCAGAATTAGAGTCCGCGCTCTTAACTGCAACACCAAACTGTGTTGTGTCTTCAGATTACACGTGCACCATGGGAATCATGCGCAGGCATATGGTTCACTCGGCAGGCAGCCCAAACTGCTCTTTTTCTCCTTGAAGTAGGTGTAGGAGGCCCCTGGAGGTGCTCTCCTCTCTCTAGCCAGCCTCACCTCCACCCGGGGTTTCCTGCAAGCGAAGGATCCAGTCCGGCACACCTCCTAATTGTTCCGGGCTGTTCCCGCCCACCTCCAGGTGGCAACTGTAGATCTTCTACTGAGGTCCCTCCCTTCCCAAACCCTGTGGCCTCCCTGAGCTCCATTCCCCAAATCTCCAGGTATTTCCCTATCCAGAGCGGACAACCCCATGTCAGGGGCTGGTAGTATTCTGCACCTCGCCCCAAAGTCCGTGCTAAGATAAATTGTGTTCAAAACACGGTAATGATATACATTGGAAAAATAAGTCATGCAAATCCCATGCCGTTTCTTTTAATTGCGGAAAGAGTTGTTTTTCATTTGGCTTTTATAGAAAGTTGAACTCCACCTTAGGGCTTCTTGGGGAAAAGCTTTTGAGGGTCGGAGCTCCGTTTGTCCCTTCTGGACTCGAATCTCGCTGTTCTACTGGAGACCAACACGGCTCCCCTCTCACTCTACCTTAGGACTTGTTTTGTGCTGAAACAAGGGAGCATCCCACTGAGGAAGCCCAAAGGAGCTCAGATTCCCACCCATTGCTGTCTGTAGCACTTTGGCTGCTCCTTTCATGGGCTTTAGCTTTCCTCTTGCTTCTCTTTTCCCAGGTTCGGTAGGGACTCCGCTGCCAGGGGTGAAGGTCCGCATTGCCACTGAGAGCTCCCAGCGGGAGGGCCCCGCCTACACCATCCACGCTGAAGGCGATGAGCACGGCACCAAGGTACCATGGTGGCTGGGCCTAGAGGAGGTGAGGGAGGGTCCTGGCAAACAGGGAAAGCGGCGTCGAGGCTTCTGGGTTTTTGCTCGGCCAGCTCTGAGGACGGAGACGTGGCCCAGGCTGGCCAGGGAGCTCCCGGTTGCTTTTCTGAATCGCGTGTTTGTGTTCCCAAATGAATAATGGGATTGGCAGCAGAGTACCCGCTGGGCATGCCCAAGGTCAGTCCCTGGCAGCACCTCCAGTTGAAGGAGCTCAGGGAACAGTTGCCAGGAAGGGCCTTCCTGCGCCTGAGACTTTGGATAGCGGCTGTCAGTCAACACACAGTTCCGAGCTGGATGGGCAGTGTTCCCTCTAAGCTGAGTGAGTGTGAGCCAGCTCACAGTTTTTTAGCCTCCAGCTCACAGATTTTTGTCTCTGCTCAGGAAGGAGGGCTCCCGAGAAAACTAATCTATGCAGGAGCCAAATCGCTTGCTCACAACTTTAATGCCAGTAGCTCACAAAGTAGAATTTTTGTTCACAAGACTCCACAGCTTCAAAGTCAAAGTCAGATACCTTTAATGGCATAAAAGTAAAATACATAGATATACAATAACACAGCGTGAAAATTTAAAAGCATAACGAACAAAATAAATAATTCCTATAGGAGCATAGATCTAACTTCGGCCGCTTCGGCAAGAAACTTGGCCACTATAGCTGTGATATCAGGATTAACAACCTTTAGAAGATACTGAATAGCGTTTTCCTTATTAGAACCATAATTAAGAGGAAATAAAGATGACAATTCTTTGCGTAAGGCTGAGTGAAATTGACTGTCGAAAATAATATGATATATTGAATCCACAGATTTTAAAGGGCATGAACATAACTTTTCATGTAGGGGGACTCCACAGCTTAGAGGGAGCATTGTAGATGGGCCGGTGGTCTGACCAGGAATGGGCACAGTTGACGCACTAACTGAAGCCGGGTGAAAAGCGCTCTGCACCACCACAGCTGCCTAGTTTCCTAAGGTGACCGCTGTGTCAAGCAGCACTCCCGAGCGGCAGGCTTGGCTTTCCAAGGGGAGTACAACCCCATCCCAGACAGTGGAGATCTGAAGTCCCTGGTCTGCCTTTCTACTAAACCAGAGAATCTCTCTTTTGTCAGGACTAAGCTTCAGCTTGTTTGCCCATTGCTGGGCTTGGCTCCAGTGCTCTTGCTGATTCCCCCCCCCCCCGCGCATGTTTTCCCAAGGGACTTTCTGACCACCCCCCTCCCCATGGACAGGGGAGAGGGTGCTGTCTGTCCCTAGAGAACTGGCCTTATGGCCCTCTTAGTGAGAGTCCTGGCTGCTGTCTCTGCGGAGTCTTTGTCTGGCCTTTTCATTAACCCTTTCTTAGGCATCTCTGGGTCCTGCTGTGTGGGGAGGCCACAGACCCAGCCTGCCTTTGGACACCCAGAATTGCTCCCTTTGGCTGAACCCCCCCCCTCCTCCTGTGCTGAGAAGGGAGGAGTGTTTGGTCTTGAAGGGGCCAGTTGCAGGATAGCTTTCCGTTCTCAGTGTCAACCAGAGGCCCAGTAGCCCTGTCTGCCTCTGATCCTCTTTGCTTTGCAAAATCAGAGTGAGGGGCATTTTTCCCAAATAAGACCCAAAGTGAAAAACAGGCAAAATTAATTTTTAAAAAATCCAGGCTTCTAAGAGGCACCTTAAGCGAATTATTTCCGTTTGACAGAGTGGGGGTGGGTAGGACTAAGGCTGCAAGGCTGGGACTGGACTAAGGTGTCCGAGGGAGCGCGGGCATAGTGTAGTGGTCAGGGCGTTGAGACCCAGGTACAAATCCCCACTCTGCCCGGGAAGCTTGCTGGGTGACCTTGGGCCAGTCACACACTCCCAGCCTAACCCACCTGACCGGGTTGTTGTGAGAATACAGTGGAGGAGAGGAGAATGATTTAAACCACTTTGAGTCCCCATTGGGGAGACAGGTGGGGCACATGGGGGGGAGGGAGGAAAGGAGGGCCCAGGATGGCAGCACACCCAGCTCTGCCCTGTCCCATTAAAAGAGGGTAGGCCTGGTTTTAGGGGCCAAAGGGACCAGCGCGTGTCTCCCTTGGGTCAGGTGGCTTACGTGTTGCCTCCTCTTGCACTTCTGCAACTGAAGCTGAGCCAAAGCAGGGTATCGAGAATCAGCAAAGATCTGTGCCCCCCGTCGATCCCCCTCTCCGCCTCCCTCCCTGCCCTTTGTGGTCTCAAATTTTAGATTGTATTCTCCTTGGGGCAGGGCCCTGTTTTCCTGTGAAATGCCACACGTCTTGATCACTGCTTGACTAATGCTAAATAATATTTCCCGGCTGCCTGTTTTCCTTGGCAGAGCCTTTCAAGTTCAGGAGAAGAAAATTGCATTTGGGGAGACTTGCCTAGGAGTGTTCTGCGCCACTATCAGTGCGCGCCTGTTGCTCCCAAACCCCCCACAGCATCCTTTTATGGCCGGTATTTTATTAGGCTTGGGGTTCAGTACATGAAGCTGCTGGGCCATAGGCTGAGGCACTCCTGGGCTCAGAATCCCAAAGTCCGATTTGGGACTCTTTCCAGCCCGCCTGCCCTCACAGTGGCTGGCGTGTCTCCCTTTCCTGCTGCTAACAGAAATGCATACTCAGCATTTATTCGACCCTACCTTCTCCTGCCCTCTGCAGAGTGTTTAAAACCCCCGTCAGGGTTGGACGCGTTCTAATTTCTCCAGGTCCTTTGCTCCCAAAGTTCCTCTCTGCAACTCATATGGCTGATAGTCCCCCTTACAACTTGGAAGGAAAAACCCCCGGAGCAAAATCGTAATCCACCAGGCGAAAGCCAGCCGAGCAAGCCATCGTTTCTCCAGCATGCCTTAGAAAGTTGCACTTGGCAGCCTGAGAGCTGCCGGGTAAGAGTGGAGCCAGAGGGCGGATGTAATTTGCAAAGCTGGTTTCTGGCACTGCCAAAGATCAATAATCTCCTTAGCGGGAAGTTTGCTGGCGCTCGCTGTCCCTTCTCCCACTTTGCTTCATTAGAGAGTGCTGAAACCTCTCTGTGAACCTTGGCACGGCTTCCGCTTGGTCTCCAGCAGCTCTTGGACTTTTCTCCCATGTCCTGCACTTTTGCCCTTGATAGACCAGGGAGGAGAAGGGAACTGACCGATGCCAGTTGGGGCTCTGCTATTGCTACAAGTCATTAGTTTAAAATATATATATTATAATTTTCTGGTAATCAGGATCTTTGATGTACGTCTAAAGTGAGCAATCACTGTTACGCAATAGATAACACCATTCCTATGGGTTAAATAAAGTGGAAAGTCTCCCCCCTGCACCATCCATTGTGTTGGTACAAGCTGTGTGTGAGAATGAAGAATGGCCATTTATATGCTGTACTAAATGTCACAGAATCACAGAGTTGGAAGGGGCCATACAGACCATCTAGTCCAACCCCCTGCCCAATGCAGGACCAGCCTAAAGCATCTCTGACCAATATTCCTCCAGCCTCTTCTGGAAAGCTGTCAGTGAAGGGGAGCTCACCACCTCTCTAAGCAGCTGATTCCACCTTTGAACCACTCTGACCGTGAAAACGTTTCTCCTAATCTCGAGCCGATGCCTTTTTGCATGCAATTTAAACCCGTTGCTTCGGGTCCTCTCCTCTGCCCCCAACTGGAACAGCTCCTTGCCCACCTCCAAATGACAGCCTTTCAAATATCTAAAGAGAGCAATCATGTCCCCCTTCAATCTCCCCTTCTCCAAACTGAATATTCCCAAGGCCCTGAGCCTTTCCTCGTAGGGCTCATTCTGCAGGCCCCCGATCACCCTCATCGCTCTCTTCTGCACCCTCTCGATTTTGTCCACACCCTTTTTGAAGCGAGGCCTCCAGAACTGCACACAGTAGGTGGGGTCAGGTGCGGCCTGACCAAGGCAGTCTACAGAGGGGCTACGACCTCCTGCGATTTCAATGCTATGGCTCTTTTAATACAACCCAAGACTGAATTTGCCTTTTTTGCCACTGCATCACACTGACTGCTCATATTCAGTGTACAGTCCTCTCTTACAGTGCATGCACACGAAAGCTTATACCTGGAACAAGACTTTGTTGGTCTTAAAGGTGCTGCTGGACTCGAACTTTGTTCTACTGCTTCAGACCAACAGGGCTGCCCCTACCTGAATCCGTCTATATGCCGTACTGGTGGGGTTGCTGTGACCTGGATGGCCCAGGCTAGCCTGACCTTGTCACATCTCAGAAGCTAAGCAGGGTTGACCCTGGTTAGTATTTGGATGGGAGACCACCAGGGAAGTCCCGGGTCGCTGGGCAGAGGCAGACGATGGCAAACGACCTCTGTTCCTCTCTTGCCTTGAAAACCTTTGAGGGGCACTCTAAGTCAGTTGTGATTTTTTTAAAATATATTTTTATTTTTCCTATTTGTATCCCGCCCTCCCCAATGGGCTCAGGGCGGCTAACAAGGGTGAGGTCATTTGCCATGCCATAGGTAAAAACATATAAAACATAGTAAAACATCCAACACTAAAACCACAGTACTCAATCCATTTCTAATATCCTAAATCCAAGATGGTAACACCGCAGTTCCAGATGGTCCTCCCATAGTATACGTGTCCAGTGGAGACGGCTTGTCAGATCTTCAGTAGTTTCCAGGTTCTTCCTCGGCCATGTCGATGCATCCATTAAGATACCTTGACGGTGGTGGTATAATGGGGTGGCGGCTCCTACTCAAAGGCCTGGCGGAAGAGCTCCGTCTTACAGGCCCTGCGGAACGGCTCAAGGTCCCACAGGGCCCGGATCTCCCCCGGGAGCTCGTTCCACCAGGTAGGAGCCGTCACCGAAAAAGCCCTGATTGGATGGCACTTTACACCCACACAAACACGCACACATGCTCTGACAGGGTTATCCTATAGATCAGTCCTTCCATCAGATTGTTCACTTTTGGGACATCTCTCCATGGCCAACGCCTCACTTTTAAATGCCCATGCCCTGTGGTGTAGTGGTTGTAATCAGACTG